ACAGTAAGTGGCTCAGGTCCTTCTCAGTTTTAGGAAGCAAGATTGTATCACCTGCATAACACAGGTTATTGATGAGTCTTTCTCCAGTCCTGATATCACATTCCTCCTCATAGAACCCAGTCTCCTGGATGATCTGTTCTGCATATAGATTGAAAAGGTACAGAGATTGTATGATACACACCTTTCCTGAATTTGAACCATGCAATGTTTCCTTGCTCTGTTCTGACCACTGTCTCCTGGTCCAAGTATAGGTTTCACATAAGCACAGTCAAGTGTTTTGGGATTCCCATTCTTCTCATAGTTAGCCAGAGTTTGTTGTGATCCACACGGTCAGATGCCTTTGCATAGCCAATGAAACTTAGCCATAGGCTTTCAGCAGAGATCCATCTAACACTGGTTATGATGTCCTGCATACAACAAAACACACTTAGAGAAGCACTTATGGTACCGGAAGCTGAGTCTTCATATTGGGAATCACAAAGGAGGAGGAACAGTTGCAAACAGACCCTGATAATTGGAATGTATAGTGTGAGTTTATGAATATAGGAAAATTGGAGATTGTAAAGGAGGAAACAGAACACGTAAATATTGACATACTAAGCATTGGTAAAAGGAAATGGATTCGCATGGGACATTTGGAATCAGACAGTCATCTACTATGCTGGAAATGAAAAGGTTAAAAAAAACAACAGAGTTGCACTCATAATTAAAAAAAAATTCTAGATCCATTTTGAAGTAGAATGTTGTGAGCCACAGGATAATATATATGCTTACGAAGAAAACCTGTTAATATCACTCTCATTCAAATTTATGCACCAACACCCAGAGCCAAAGAGGAGGAAATAGACAACTTCTACTAACTGGTGCAATTGGAAAGTAATCAAACATGCAACCAAGATACATTAGTGATAATGGGTGACTAGAATGCAAAAGTGGGAAAAAGGAAGAAGGATTAGTCGTGAAACATGGACTTGGTGACAGAAATGAGGCTGGAGACAGAATATAGGATTCTGTACAACCAAACAACCAACAATTTATTCATTACATATACCTTTTACAAGAAACACAAATGGTAACCATACGCATGGACTTAATCTGATGGCCTACACAGCAATCAGATTGATTACATCTGTGGGAAAAATAGTCAAAGAGCTTGATATCATCTGTGAAAACTAAGCTAGCTGCTGATTGTGGATCAGTTCATCAGCAATTGTATACAAGTTCAAATAGAAGCTAAAGAAAATCAAATCCCCAAGAACTAAATTCGACATTGAATCTTTCCTTCCTGAATTAATAACCATTTCAGGAATAGGTTTTAAGGCCTTGAATGAGAGAAGGCAAGATGAGCTAGGAAGGATATCAAGAATATTATCTAAGAAGAGTGCAAAAGGTTATTAAAAAGACAGAGGAAGAAAAAAAGACCAAAATGGATGTCAGAAGAGACTCTGAATATTGCACTAGAGCACTGAAAAGCCAAAGCAGAGGGAAGGAATCAAGATGTTAAGGACCTGAACAGAAGATTTCAAAGGACAGCAGAGGAAGACAAGATATTATAATGAAATGTGCAAAGAACTAGAGTCAGAAAATCAAAAGGGATGAACTCGCTCAGCTTTTCTTAACTTGAAGGAACCAGAGAACAAATTCCAGCCATGAGTTGCAGTACATAAGGATGCTGTGGGCAGAATGTTGAATGACCAAGGAAGCATCAAAAGAAGACGAAAAGAATACAGAGTCACTGTACCAAAAAAAATTGGCTGACACAGAATTATTTCATGAAACAATACATGATGAAGAACCTGTAGTGATGAAGGAGGAAGTTCAAGCTGCCCTGAAGAAATTCGCAAAAAAAACAAGGTCCCAGGAATTGATAGAATACCAGTTGACATATTTCAGCAAACAGACACTGCCTAGGACGTGCTCACCAGGCCAACTGCTTGGAAAGATCCATATTTATTCCCATTCCAAAAAAAA